AACAAGTGCCTTACTAGTAGTAACAAGAAGCTAGTAGAAACAAGTGCATCGCTTCTAGAAACAAGTGCCTTACTAGTAGTAACAAGAAGCTAGTAGAAACAAGTGCATCGCTTCTAGTAACAAGTGCCTTACTAGTAGTAACAAGAAGCTACTAGCAACTGTCGTGAAACGTCGTGAAACGTTGGAATGTCGTTTGATCACTAAGTTTGACCACCTAATTACGTTTCACATCGTTTCACGAGGTTTCACTGCTTGTCTGGTTTTTGTTTTCTTTTAAAGATCTGCAAGTTGGACAGCTGAGTCTGCCAACCAGTTGCCATTCACCTCTGTGAGGTCCCCGCCGCCGTGCTTCGTTCTTCTCTGCATCCGACAGGCATCTGACCATGCGACCGCATGTGACGTGACCGTACTCATAATATAATTAATATAATATATATATATATATGTGTGCTCATATTTTAGATCCACAATTGATGACAATATTCTTTGCTGTCACACAGCCTTCAAAGAAATACGTGAATATCAGAAAGAAGAACTAGTCGAACAAACATGAACAAATAAGCAAGACATAGCAAGATCAAGAGTTCATACATCTGTGAGATGTCCAGGTTGTGATGCAAACCTGGTGGCTGCCAGGTCATAGCCTGTCTCACCAACCTGACAGACTGAGTTCAGCGGTTAAGTTTCCCTAAAAGTCTAGGAACCAAATCATTAGTGCGAGCGCTTCTTCAAGGAAGCTCCCCCCCGCCGCCTTCAAGGGGGCGGGGGGAGATTCCTTGAAGAAGCGTGAGCTATCCTGCGTCCATGCTAGTAGCGTACTAGCTACCTCAGGTACTAGCTACCTCCCTTACTTAATTGAGAAGGCGCCTACTTACTGTAATTATGTAGGCAGGGGATGGAGTGGGCTAAAAAAAGAAACAAAACAAATCAAAGCAGCAAAACAAGGGAAGCATAGGGAAAGCTGGAATGAACCTGTCAAAGAAGCCCCCAAGACAAAAGATCCATATTACTGCCAACTGCGTGTGAAAGCTGTAAAAAACAGTTGCTACTGCATATGGATACATGGATATTGGATGATATTAGAGTACCTTTAAAGGCCATTTTCTCAGACATACTAGGAACAAGTGCATCGCTACTAGTAACAAGTGGCATTACTACTAGTAACAAGGACGCTAGTAGTAATCATTGAAGAACTCCCAGCCTTCTCCGCTCCAAAGGCCTTGACAAGGCGCAGCAGCACTTGGTCAGGCGTGGGCAAAGCCGGGCCTCAACGGGCATCCCCGGGCACTAAATCGAATGACATTCACGTGCTGTACAGCATGTGCACGGATCGGCTTAGCATGGAAATGCAAAGTGTTGCATCATCCATACAGAACAAAGAGTTCATTGGTCGATCAAGTGTAAGAATGCTGATATGTTATTGTGGGCTGCAAATGATCGACCAAAAACAAAAGACTGCAAGTCAGAACGAACACATGTTGCAATGTTAGCACTGTTTGTTTATCATTATCTCAGCATCCCCTCCTGGTGGGGATTGGCCTGCAATCTGCTCGGCCATACGCCTGGGTACAAAGTACAACGCCCAAAGGAAAGAAAACAAGTCCTTTGCCAACAATCGTTGTGTCAAATCGTGTTGCAAACTTGAACCAATTCTATTATTGTATCATTTGTGTGGTGTCTTTGAGTCACCATCCAAACGCTCAACACTTTCAGCTTGGTCCACACAAACTGGACCCGCTATCCGTGAGCTGCTACACTGGATTCCTTGCTCGCACGCTGTTAAACATATTAAGGCTCTACGCACAAGCATCATAAAAGAACTGCTACGTGGTCCACTGTGACAAAAGGGCGGGTTGGAAAGTTTGCTCGATGTTTCAATGACCATTGACTGCAGGCAGCCAGGTAGTCAGAAACGGCATGTTTGAATAGGCAGGACCCTGGGAAAACCAATTGGACGTTGCAAGGGTAGAGGGCTTCTTGAACTAGTTCCAAACCTTCATCAACCCTGAAGGGGAGGCTTTGGAAGGCGAGGAGAACTCTCTCAAGCCGGCAGCCCGTCCTCTCCCTCTCATGACATCTGCAAAGAAAAGACTATTGTTTGTGACTTGCTCATGTAGAAGTTCGGGTTGCTACATGTTGTGGTGGAGCTAACCTCCATGATCTGTTTGATTATGATGGAGAGCAATCAAAGCAAGTATCGACTTCTTTAAGTACAAAGTCTTTTGTAGTATGTTGCGGAAAGGTCTATTCAAGCCTATGAGTCTATTGCTGTGGGGGCTGCCCTCTGGCTTCTTCATGACCAAACCATGCCGCCGTTCATAGAGCCAAAACACTACATGGTCAGGGCAGAAAGCAGCTCGCTTGAGCTTCCAGCAACAGGACAAGCCGGGAGCAAACAAGCGCTCCAAAACAGCCATCATTGACTGTCCAAAAGCGATTCCCAAGCCCCAGATTTAGAGCGTCCGGCAGGTGTGCACCTCTGTTGTTTTGTTCTGCTGACACACTTGTCACTTATGGACGTCATTGGTCTCTGTGAACCAATTCCTTGCGTCGTGTCTCCTTAGTGTAAGGGCAAGACCATTCGAATGTGAGTCTCTAAATCATATTAAACTGGCATTACACATGCTTTGCGGAAACGAGGCAAGACTTCATCATCATTCCAACATCTCAAAACAGTGAGCGACAGTGAGGTATTCAATTGACAACGGGATTTAAGGGCTGCTTTTTCCGAAGACAAAGGCACTAATTAGCCATCTTTCTCGGAGTCGTAGTCCCCATCACTGCTCGATGTCTCCATGCTCAGGCTACCGCCTATGGAGCTCGGAACATCTCTCAATCTTATTCCGATATCAACAATTACTTGCAGTAGTGTTTGTAACCAAAGAAAGTTTTGCAAATAGAATCAACCAGCTGCTGCATTGGAATTCTGCAATCATCAGGTCATCTATATTGTATATTATCTTAATCTAGATATATTGTGTGTCTGCCCTCTGAAAGCATACTACGGACCTCTCTCAAACCCTGTCATACAACAACATAGATACATACAATCGCAAGGCCTTTTGTGCTTTCGCTCTCGTGGATCTGTCTGAGCTCCATTTCCACCAAGTCCAAATTCTTCAGTGGATAGTCAGAGACCTCCAAAGCCAAGAATGCTTTGAGAAGCGACTTCAGGAAGAAAGCCCTCTTGTTGAAGCATTCAAACAACACCGCAACCTTCTTTCTCAACCCTACTCGGAATGATGAACCCTCAAAATTGTAGGAATTTCAGTTTCAGCACAAAGATCATCAAATATCAATATGTTTTCTCTCAAAAGTACAAATGTAATCAATGACTTTTCGATCCTCTTGTCGGTGGTAAACTGGGAGATGGACCTGACCGCAAACGATCTGAATCGGGACCATGACGGACAGAGCTGTGTTTTTTTCTGTGACTTGTTGCGCAAACGTGGTCGGTCATTCTGTGCCTTTTCAGATGACTCCTTTAACATTTGCCGGAGCAGTGCATTTGGGGCACTACGCTACAGCATGGTACAGCACATAGTCCACAACCGACGGGGTGATGCTGCAGCTAAGGAATTTGATAAAATTTGCGAACGTTCACTGGCGAATCCATTTGTTGGCATGAAGCTTGCTGATCACACATGCTTTGATGTCGGTAGTTGGTTCGCTTGCATGATTTGTCCATTTCGTCGAATGTGACGCCACGACACCTTCGGTGGAGGAACGCCATCAAGATGTGACCGAAGTTTGTCGCAACTTCCCCGCGTGCGCAAATTTTGTTGCTAGTAATTACAAGTGCCTCGCTAGTAGTAACAAGTGCCTTACTAGTAGTAACAATGTTTGCTATTTAAAATTAGTTTAATTGTAATAGCTTTTTTGTTACTACTAGTAAGGCACTTGTTACTAGAAGTGATGCACGTGTTCCTAGTAGCAAATTTTGTGAGGGCAGCACATCGGAGTGCTGGTTTTTGTTGCGCTGAGAAAGATAGATTGAATGTCATCACCAAGTCTATGAGTGCTGGCTCACCCAGTGGCTTTCCTAGCGCTGTGCGGAGGGAATGATGTTGTTGCTTGCTTGCTGCCTCTAAACGAAGAGCAAACAACATCTTCAAACAACATGACGCAGCCACTTTGACTACAAAACGGGAACAGTTAAATACTACTTATTCAATCCTATTCAAACCTAAGCTGGTCTTGTGGAATCCTCTTTGATCCAAATTCATTGAGTCTTTCCGATGCTCCGATGCATGCAGAAATGCGTTTCTCGCTACTAGTAACAAGGGCATTACTACTAGTAACAAGAGGCTACTAGGCTACTAGTAGCAAGGTGCATCGCTACTAGTAAGTAGCTCCTGGCATTACTACTAGTAACAAGAAGCTACTAGTAGCTACTAGAAGCGATGCCAATATGCGTTTCTTTTCACCAAGGGATTTCTACCTAGGCCTATGTACCACAGTGCCCGGTACAACCCCAGACAGGTTCACTGATGAAGCCTGACGTGTGGTAAGAAACCAACTCCCTTTGCTCAATCTGAAGCCAAGAGGCAGTAAAGAGACATATCTAAACGAATGCATAGAAGGCAGATTATTCTGTCTAAAATCAAGTTTAACTTGCATCTCTCAATTTAACACTGGATCTGATGCAAACTGCCTGCCTCGTGGGCAGGGAATGCTTTGATGATGAGATGTGACAAAAGAACCGTCTCCACCAGAGTGGCAAACCTTTGTCCGCTGCAATGAGGTCTCACTTTGTAGGTTGACAATGCCGCAAGAGGTCGAAACTGAACTTCACACATTTCATCGATTGCTTTTTCGAGGAAAAGGATCTCATGCTGTTTCACACACATAGTTCGCACCAGCGGTGCGCACAAACGGTTTCTGCGATTCTGAAGGGATCGAAAACACACAGAGGGAGGACCAACATCTGTCGCTTGGCAGGTTTGGCAAAGCACCATCAACTCAGAGATTCTTTAGATCCCAGAATTAGAAGGTTCTAAAGGAAATGCGCAGAAACAGTTCGCAATGTGACCAATGGACCTTTGGTACAAAAGGGCCCAAGTTCGCTGCCGACTTTCTAAGGCTAAAGTCTCGAAGACAAATCTCTCTGAATCTGTCCCATGTACTGCCAAGTGCTGACAAGTTGCGTAGTCCACCAGGCAATCACGTGTTCCAAATCCTGCAAGAGCTGATCTATGTTCTACTGAGGCATCTCATCTTGTATATGAATAGGTTATGCTAGACCATGGTATATAGGTCTAAGTGTTCAATCTTTCTTCCAGTCCTTGGGGTTGTTGGGTTCCAACAAACAGCTCTCGTCTGGAGGTCTGAACCTACCAAGCGATGAGTCGATGCACATTCGTTGGCCAAGTACACCGCAACGCGCCACAACCCAAGCCAATCAAGATGGAACTGTCAAGATTGCTCAACTTGTGAAGCGTTTGCAGCATTTGACAGCCATGTCACTTGCGGATGAACAATCCGAATAGCTTGTTCTGGATCACGGACAACAGAATCACCAACCTCTAGCAACAAATGACAAACTTTGAATACGATGAACAACACAGAATCTCAGCATGTTCAGCCAACTAGTCTTGACAAGTTGACTTGATTAAACTGACAGTTTTCGATTTTCCAACTTCGACCATTCTTTGGAAAAGTTTGGAAATAAGCCTCAAGTTTCACTGTTCAGATCATGTCTATTCAAAGTCAGGATTGAATCAGATTTGCTGACGAGGTTGAAGAGTGGTGAAATGTGCGATCATCTCGCCAAGGTGCTTGATGGCCACGAACTTCCTGTCGAACTTGAGTCAAAGGTCAAAACTGGCGATTTGAAGCTTCGCAACATGTTGGCAAAGGGTTTGTCTCTTCCAAATCAACCCTCTCGGGCATTGGAATTAAGCATCTCAAGCATTGCTAGGAAACCCTTCATCCCCCGACAGGAACCCCGAGAAGAATGCAGAACCTGACGCACTTAATGAACTAGAGCTGGCTAAAGCATGCTACAGCGTCGTCTCACTTGCAAGGCAAACTTGCAAGTGTGTGGCGGTGAAGATTCCTTTGACCTATTCAGAACCATCGAGTCACATCCAACTCATCCTCCTCAGCCAGAAAAAGTCACTCTGTGCCTGGTGGTGTTCCAATCGTGAAGCAGGTCATGCGTCGCCTGGCAAAGCCAAGAGCGATGCATGCTTCATTCAGAGAAACCTGAATAAGCACAAAGTGCAGCAAACATATTATGTTGTATATATATATAATGTGTTCTTTTTCCGACATGTCTGTTTGGCACTTTGATTGGCAAGAACATGCAAGAACAAATGCAGATTTTGAAAAATGCCTTGTACATCACGAAGAGTCCGTAGATGGCCAGCATGCCAGAGGCCTTCAAGATGTACCTAGTACGAAGTCGAACATACGAAGTCGAGTGCTGTCACATGTCCTTGGGACTGACCTCGGAATCAAGAATCGTTCAAAGGCTGAAAGGCAAAGACTAACCTTCGCCACGTTGCCCAGCAACGGATTGCATCTTTTTGGCCCGCACGGGCAGGAATGTCAGCCTCGATCCATCGGTGGAAAACCATGGACAACCTAAATTCATGCAGTCTCTGCTGCATGACCTAAAACCCTAACTAAAAAGGATTTGGACCTATAAGTTGTCGCTTTCCTTCTCAAACTGTTTCTCTCCCAAGTCTTGTTGTTGAACAAATTGGAGTTCCTTTTGAGGCCTGGTTTGTTTTGCCAGCAAATCCTGGACAAAACTCCCCTCAAGTGTTTCATATCGTTTCGTTGTTTGAGGAGCAGTATGAACCTGGACCCCTCAATGAATACGTGCAAATTCGACCCAATCAATGTTGGTGGTAGGAGAGCTGAATCCAGGGCAAATCAATGAAGATGCCAAGAAGCCCGCACCACATAAAGAATGTGTTCAGAAACAGCTCCAAGAGCACATACCTCAAAGGGCTCCGGTACAGCAAAGGTGGTCTTTAGATGTAGATCCTAAAAATTCCATAAAGTTCCTAAAACCTCTCAACGTGACCAGGAACGACGGCTCCTTGGCTTTGCAACACCCTGTACTGCTCACAGTCTCAGTCTCTCTCACCCGCTTGATTCTATTCCAT